CTAATGGGTTCCAGATCTTGTCCTCCCACAAAATTATTACAATCATGCACGGCAATATGACCTTCACAATACTTCAAACATGTTTCCCATTAGACAGACTTTCCATGTTTCCAATTCTGTAAAATTAGAATGTTAAGTCAGTGTAAAAAAAAAAAAGGTTAATTTACTGACACAGCAACATTTGTCTCTTCTCTTTTCCCTTTGCAGACAATCTTACTTATATAGCTCTGGTGGGTTCCAGTAAATTACAGCCTGTGGATGCATAATTATAAGTTTGACCTCCTCAGGTCACAGGCATTAATGACAGGCACAAACATCCAGAGGACACGAGGCAGCAACAACACAACTTCCGATGCCCAGTGCAACTCTCATTTACGATCTGTAATTAAATTTGCTTAAAACAGACCTGGCATCAAAAACTGTTCTTTATTAGAAGAAAGCACTGTCCCTTTCTGCACTGCATCAAAATAATTTACATACTGTATTGCCAGGTTTCATGCTTCTTGCCGTGGCACTGAGATTAATATTCCTTCTCTTCTTTATTCATTTCCAACGGCCTTTCTCTACATGGGAGGTGACGACTATGGCCAAACAGTATTTTGTGTACTCCCTTCTTTGAGAGCTGTACTCCCTGGCCGAAGCTCCTGGCCTCCAGCCTCGCTCTCCCTGCTCTGTAAGCTGCAGCCTGACTCAGCCCCGGTGGCTGCAGTGTGACACAGTGCTCTGCTGTAACTTGTATAAGAGCCCTGAGGGTGCGGAGAGCAGTCTGTGTGTCACATGAGCTCCCAGAAAAGCAAGCTCTGAAAACCAGAAACAGTAAATAATTCCAACTGCACCACCTCCCAGCTTAAAGCACTGTAACTAAAATTGCTCCGATTATCTCATTTTCTGGCCATGACCCCACACGTACCATTACGATAATTTACTGTCATTTTCCCTCTTGAACTTCTAAAAACACTCTCACTGCCACAATTTAAAACCAAACCAGGTGAAAGTAAAGAAAACTGAAATTGAGACATTTCCCATCCTTGCATGATGTACAAGATGCCACTAAATGCTGACATAACTACAAGCCTGTATATTGCCCAACCTGTGCAGATAAAACTGACACTATGTGGGCTCAGTGAACATTTCTTAAAAGCTATTTTCCCAGGTATACAATTTGTTTTTTACAGCAATCTTCCTGGAAGGCTTCAATTTGCAGATACTAAATCAATTAGTTGCTGCACCTGCGTCTGGCTTTGACCCTTAACCTCTGGTCTTCACCAGCTGCCCTTGACAGGACCAAAGTTAGATCTCAGCTGGAGACGCACACTTGTCCAAAATTACTGAGCCAAAAAATGCCTAGTCTTCAAAAAATCGTGTTGCTCCAGTAAAAAAACACTATTATACAAAGGTCAGTATTATAAATTGATTTGCAGTACATTCAGAGTCCCAGAGGCATGGAAAAAAGACAGAAATGTAACTCCTGGGGCTATAAGACAGTAATACAAGAACATATACTAAGGCATCCAAAGTGTTATTAATGCTCTTGGGTTTAGTACTCACTGTTATATTCTTAATACCTTTTGGCATAAAATCACAGTATGACGCATCTGAAGAGGCTCCATTGAAACACTGCTCTTTTACCCTCTACTTTTCCATGTGGAATTAACCTCTGCTCGTTTTTTGCAGCCGGCACACAGCTCTAACCCCTGTATCCTACCTCACAGCTCATGGAGCGGCTGCAGGAATTAGGCCTGTCCTGCACCACGGATCGCCACCCTCTTGCTCTTAATGCACCCAGGGAGAACCCCGGAGAGGGTCAATTAACACAATTATCAGTCAATTAGCACGGCAGAGCGAAAAGGCCTCGCTCTCACCATTGCCCATGACCTTTCTGTCAGTGCTTCAAGCAGATCCAGGGGCCCAGGGCTGACATCTTGCATGTTCTAACACTTCCTGCTCTGTGGCAGAGCACATCTGAACTGAAACGCACGCACTTTTAAGTGGTTTTAAAATGTGTTTTTAAATCAAAATCTTAAACATAATATCTCTTTCACTGCAGAGTCGCCCTGGAAAGGCTTCGGATGTGCTAGTGACGAAGCCACATGGTTATTTTCTCAATGAGAGATTTTGCATGATGTCAGAGTGGGGAAAAAAAATGAAAATCTGTGAGCACATCTGAACCCTGAACTAGCCTGAAAAATAACTGTACAGTGTCTGTATTCATCAGTCTGTTAGAACAATTTCAAATGAAAAGAGTCTGCAGCTTTAGCAAAACTCTCTGGCTGACATTTTCAACCTTGACCTCTGACCCGAGATGCACATTAACCACATGCCAAGTCAAGAGTTTTTTTTCCCCTAATACACTAGCACCTCATCATTCATGTTAAAAGCTCTATTTTCAACTACGTACAGAACACTCCTGAGTCCTAGATTTAAACATACAGTAGATGTGCTGCATGTGTCCTGTAATGAGAGCACTATAGGCTTTAAAAGGAATGGTAGAGTCCTGACTGAATGAAATATTGGGACTGTTAGCTACCCTCCTAATCAATGAAGGGACATGCAGTGTATAGCCACAGACAGCTAGCAATTGCAGCATTTAAAGAAACCGGGAAGATGAAATCTTACATCTCCGCAAGCAGAACTTAGGTGGTTGGATGACCAGTTCATTCCGCAGTATTACCTCCTGCTCCTCCTCACTCAGAAGACAGGAATAGCAGGAAGTGCTTTCTGAATGAAAATGGATTTCGTCTGCCACAATGGAAAGCCTCATTCTTTTTAAAGAAACACATGGCAGTTAGGCGGCAGCTGAAATCTGCACATTTCAACGTTGATGTTTACTCCTATTTGGATTGCATTCAACAAACAAAAATACATTATGCATAATTTACATTTAAAGAAATGTTACAGGCACTTTAATTAAATGTTGGTTTTACAACATCAACATCAGGAACACACCCAAAAAGCCATCCTTCCTGAAAGCCTGCAGAGGGCACTGTAGCAGAAGCACAGAAAGGTGCCGCAGACCAGGGGTTGAACCGTGGACCACCGTGGCAAAGCAAAGTCAGCGCCATGGCACAGGCATGACAAATCATGGCACAACTGCAGAAAGACTTTGCCTGTTCACCCCAGGGAACTCTTGCGAGGAACAGGCTGGTTTCAAACTAGCGATCACTATGTAAATCACATTCCGTGAACGTGACCACATCTGGCTCCTACAAAGACTGGCCAAGGAACAGTCAGCTAACAACATCTGGCTGGACTGCGCAGTGACTATCTCCTCCCAGCAGCTGTCTGAGTCACACTTCAGCAGGCACAGTCCCCATCAGCCCCTGGGCAAGCAGGATTACATATTACCCCGGTGATTGTGGCCACTCGTATTGTTAAGTCTAAACCAGGTTCTGTGCCACAACAAGAAAGAGAACCCTGGCTAGGTCAGAATCTGCAGCTAAGCAAACATTTCCATTGCTCTGCATGTTAACCTGACAAGTTCTGTCCGAGTTCATCAGGAGTACAAAATACCATTTAAAATCATTAAGTAAAAAGAGAACATCCCTGCAGTACTGAAAACACTGACAGACTGTGCTGTTAAGAGTACAAAAACAGAGCCTGAGGTTTGTAAAACAACAAACATGTACGCAAGGTTTCTGAAGCATGGCCTGATGGCCCGCTTGGGCCACATTTGTTCAGACTGGAGAACTCAGGCCCCCAGCTGCGTGCCTCTGGTGGAGAGCTTAACTGCAGGCGGACAGTAACCCCAGTGGAGGGCTGGAAACGTTTCCACTGTCCGACATCCCCAAGGGGGCAGGCATTAGTGATAACAAATGGCAATGCTGAACTGCAGACTGAGCGACCTGATTTATTATTCTGTGTTTGAGTTCATAAAAGTGTACCACATTGGACACTGGCATTCTTGAAGAAATTCTTCAAAAAACAGGAAAGGGAATGGCTAACATCCCCCAAATTGATATTTTTTCCACTTGGTTTTCAGCTGGTCTTTGTGCAAAAGCCAGAATGTCTCTGCAGCAAGGCTGCTCACTTGTAATGCACTATTTTAGCTGGAAGAGGAAAAACACAGACCCTTGAGAACTGCAAGCCTTGAACCCTTGTACGGCTTGTACCCACCCATTTTTGGAACCCCAGCTGTTTCAAAACTCTTCTCTCTGGCGGTGCCCCCCCCACGTACTCGTGCTTCCCCAGAGCCCCCCCCCCCACAGAGCCAGCAGTTTTCAGTCGGGAAACTGAAGTGACCGCACTTGCCGAAACTGCTGCACGCAAGACGGCGCCCCACAGCTCGTGCGAGTTGCTGTTCGCCAGCAAGCGGGGAGAGACCTGGGCGGCTGATCCCCTGCGATCCCGAGGATCGGATCCCGGGTCTGTGGGCATGGAAACGCGACCTGCGACACCTGGGCCACAGAGCCCCCACGGCGCCCTTGCAGACGCTGGCCAACCCCCTTCAAAGAAGCAGAGCCAAGTTCTACCCGACCCAGTGTGAGGAGTGGAGCCCTGCCCGTGAGGTGGAGGGTGAAAGGAGTGAAACAGTGTCTTCCCTCACCCAGCCCCATCGGTGAAACTCTTCTTTCTCAGCCAGGCGCCGGTCACTGTTGTGCTGAGCTCAAAAACTTCTCCTACCGCGATCCCACGGTGATAATTAATTATAGGTTTCCTCCCCATTAGGAAATGAAATAACGGCTTTATTGGGACAAATGAGGAAGCGGTTAGGGTCAGCAATACATCTGTTTAAAGCCACATCGGTGTTTAATTTTCCCGTATTTTCTAACTTTTTTTATGCCTTTGACTCCTGAAGAGCTGTTTTCCTCTGTGCAAACCCACTGTCGTGCTGTGAGACGTGGCTGGGAGGTGGGTAGGAACAAGCAGCTTATTGAAAACGTTACCTGGGAAGGCAGACAGGTCATGCTTAAGTGGAACAATTTTTGCGAAATTAATCTTTGATGTGTCTAGATATTAATTTTACAGCTGCACATCTTAGTTTGTTCTTCTGTTCTACTTACTATGAACAGACCCTCAATGTCAGTGGAGCTTCCAGAGTTCTCCAACAAGTCTTCAAGATGGTTAGAGGACAGCACTGGATCCTGCACAAACAGACAAATAACAAATGGGGGAAAAAATAAGGTAATCAATCAAAACGTATCAGCAGTGCATTAAAAAACACCTGAAACTGGTTTTGAAAGTTGCTATGGCAACTTAATGCTAATGTAATGTGCTTAGGTTTAGTGGGTTGCCAGTTGTGAGTTGCAGGGCAATATAACCAGCTGCTATAAAATAAGGTGCCTTCCTTTGGATGAGACTTAAAACCGAGGTCCTGACTTCTCTGTGGTCATTAAAAATCCCAGGGCGTTTTTCGAAAAGAGTAGGGGTGTAACCCCGGCATCCTGGCCAAATTTCCCATTGGCCCTTACCAATCACGGCCTCCTAATAATCCCAATCTCTGAACTGGCTCCATCACTCTGCTCTCATGATAGCCGATAGCTGGTGTGGGGGCTGCACATTGGTGCTGGTGGAGGGGAGCCCTCATTACCTGTGAAGCACTTTGAGTGGAGTGTCCAGAAAAGCGCTATATAAGTGTAAAGAATCATCATCATCATCACTATTAATGCGGTGCTTACCTCCAGCCCGCGCGTGTTGGGGATCCTGGGGGAGCGAGGGGGCTTGGGAGACACCCCCCCGCAGATGGGGAGGTAGAGGGCGCAGTGCTCTCGGGCAGCATCTGGGTCGCCCATCACAAAGGTCATCTGCCGCAAAGACCCCTGGGAGAAGAAGGGGAAGCGGTGCTGACCAGGGCGGGGTGCAGCGCGGTGAGCACACGGGCCCCAGGAAGGCAGGATAAGGGTCCGGTGCACACCGCAGGGAACCATGACCGATTTGAAGAGTAAAATCATGGTAGAACTATGGTTCTATCACAGTCAAATGGCAAAAAAAACCCAAGCTCCTGAGAAAAACTTTCTAAGGTCACTTAGCAGGGACTACAGACTCTGACTAGCCTGAACGCATGCAGCTTCAATATGCCAAAAGCAAATTTGCCATCCCACCTGTAAAGTAATGGTGCTGAATCCTGCAGGCCTGTAGAATCATGGAGAACCCCAACTCATCCATGAGTAATGACTTTTCATTAAATCATTTTCCATTCAAATGACGTCACTAAGTGTCTAATAAGATACCAAGACAAGTCGCAATTTTAAATAAAACCTATACTGTAGCTCGTTGGTTGGCTGCTAGTAGTTGTAAATTGATCCAGTGATCTCATCCAGCGCATCATTAACTGCACTGGTTCCCCAGTGAGCTCCCCAAGCGAGCCAGGACAGCAGGTGACCAGTGATCGCATCTTCCCACCTGGATCTCTTCTTCGCCCCATTTTGCTGGGGAGGAGCAAGCAGCACTGTTTGGCTGGCGTCCAAGCAAGCCACCAAGATCTTTGATGGGATCCTCGCGGTGAAACAAAGAGGTCGAACGAGTACCCCTTCCGTCGCCACGCCTCGTGCACCAGACATTTTTAAAACTCCCGCTGCCTTTCTGCCACCTTTGCCGGTGGCTGTGGTGCTGGGGCAGGACTGAGGGGGCGTTGCAGGAATGGATGTCAGGTTTGTGCGGTTTCCTCCGTCACTCCTTTGGCACCAGGAGGCAGGGCCTGCCGTCTCAGGCCACTGGGGCCATGCATTCAGCAGCTTCCACTCTCTGAACAACTTCACCCTTCAGAGAGGAAGCGGCCCAAGAGGCCGTGCGTGAGTCCACATACCGCTGGGACACGATGTTTCCACGCCAGCAGGAAACTTCGCCCGAGACGCGTTTACACGTTTCTCATTCTGCTTCTTCCTCTCCTCAGGGCGCACGGCTGTCTCTGCCCCCTCCCCCCCCCCGAACACCCATCACAAACCTTTCAGCACCAGTCCGGAGTTCAAAAACACTCGGAATAGAAAAAAAAATCGACATCATGTTCAAATAGTTTGCACTGCAATTTCCGGAGATCATCGCTGCCAGCTGTCCCGTCGCGGCTTTGGACGTTTTACGGTGTGCTAATCCCAGCTGTCCTGCACTGCGTGGCGGGGTCAGTGCGAGAGGGGGAGCAGACAGGGCACACTCCTGCACCACTGGGGACCAGAGGAGCTCTGGAGTTCATCAGAGATCAGATCTCAAGTCTGAGCTGCAAGATGCTCAAGGTAGCTCACGACAGGGTGAAATATTTATCACCCTTTGATTTACGGGCTGGGATTAAGGACACATAGAAAGTGCGTGCTGTTCGGCCCTGCAAGCTGCACGGCCAAGAAATTGAGACCAGGATGCGTGGACGGAAAAAGACATTTTGTGGCAGGAGTTTAGACCCAAGACAATAAAAGAAGTAGCAGCCACTTTATTCCAAAATACAAATGGATAATCATAAAATCTAGGACACAGCTCTTCTGTTTCCTAGAATCCTGAAATGATGTACTTTTTATTGTTAAATTATGTTTTTAGTGTAATTTTGTTGGTGTCCTACTGACCGCAGCTCAATATCTACTGGGTTAAATCAGACCGGTGCCCATGCTGTGGACCATGTGGGCCATGGGCACGACGACTATTTCATACTGGGATTCATTTGTCTTTGCTGCCATCGAGTGGTAAAGAAGCTACATGATCCTTCCTGCCCTTTGAAGCAGAAACAGGTCTCAAGGACCATGTTTTGGAGGCATTAGGTTTATGATCTGCAGGGAGCACGCCTGACTGCATGACGTTCTAAGATCACGCTGGCAGTGTAGCTCACCAGATAGATGTGACCAGTTTCAGTGCAGCGTGTGGACCATTTCTATCAGCGATACAGCAAAGTCTTGCCTCAGGCTGCACTCTGTAAGGAGGTTTCTGCGTATATAGTGTATTATCCAAACCAGCAGCGTTCAGCATCTTCTTTGTGCTGAGTCATGGCTTCTCTGGGTGTTGCACACGTGAAGGAGTCTTCCCAGGGCTCTCACCTCAAAGGGCGTCTCGAAGGTCTCGACGATCCCCCCGACCATCAGCAGCCCGTCGGTGGCGATGCCCATGCCGAAGTAGTTCTTCCAGGCCACGCCCTCCACCAGGGCACAGTCCACGAACAGCTCCAGGCGCCGCGCCGACACGCCCAGGGCCACGCGGTGCCACTCCCCGTCCGCCAGCACGCCCACGGGGAACCTGGAGAGGAGGGAGAGGTTGAGATGGGGAAGACACAGCTGTGGTCAGGCTCCAGGACCACAGTAGAGACTAATTATCTGGCCTCCGTCTTCCTGAATGCATCAAGTCTATGAGAGTGGAACTTGGGATATTTTATTTTCAGAGGGAAGAATACCGTGATGTCACATCGTTTAACACCTTTTGATTTCAGCACAAGACTTCAAGAACTTAAATGCCAGCGATACTATAAACTGCCCATAAAAATCCCCGCTGGAGGGCTACTGGGAACTCACTCGTAGTCCCGCCTGCTGGTGGTGACGAAGGTCAGAGTGTAGGGGTTCAGTCTGATCTGCAGCAGGATGTGGCCGCCGTGGTCGAGCAGGGTCAGGACACTGGTGTCCTCTCGCAGGGCGCTCCTCAGTTCCAGCAGCACGCTGAACTCATCCGCGAAGCTGGACACACAGGCAGGAAACCAGCTCACAACCTTGAACCCACGCCTGGATCAGTGCATTAAGACCGTAAAGGAGCCCAGAGAAGGAAAGCGTGAATAGACAGGGGGAGGGGGTGGCACAAAGAGGAAAGCTCACCTTGGTCCGAAAGCGTGGTGCGTGGGCAGGCTCAGCGTGGCGTACTGGCCGATGTGCAGCACCGGGCACTTCTGCTCATCCTCAGCCAGGGACACGTCACTGTTGTTCACAGCCTGGGAGGAAATCTGCTCCAGCAAATCCACTTCCTCTGCAGAGAGGAGCAAAACAGTTGGCTGCAACACAGAAGCTCAGCTCAGGGCCCGGGCCGATTGAACTAAGGCTTAAATGGGTCTCGCCCAATAATGAAAGGAGATGCAAACAGAACTTCACCCCGATTCACACCGGTTCTTGTTAATTTTGGAAGACTGTGGCCTGCAGCTTGCAGGAAGGGCAGACTTCTCCACCAGCACTTAAGTGAGAGCATGGTTACGGCACAGAGGTTTAAGTAACCAGAACGCTCTGGGCTTCCAAATCGGCACAGTCACGCTGTAGTCTGTGAGCAGTGTCCATGCTGGTCCGTGCCGGAGTGGCCCTGCTGAGGTCCAGGTAAGTACAGCAGTGACAGTACAGCTGCCTGTCCCACTCCTATCCTCCCCTGCAGGCCAATTACTCACCCCGAACAAAGGGCCCAGCAGCTACACTAATTTCGGACCTCGTCTGGACATCGTGTGGGTGTTTCTGAGGCACAGCCGACAGTCACAGTGACTCCGTCATGCCTGTCTCGGCTGCTGGGGGACGGAAATGTTCCAGTCCTCACGTGTCTATACCATGTTGCAGCAGCTCCATGAGCTAATCAGAGAGCAGCTAAGTGAAAAACGAGTGTCTTTTACTTTACTGCAATGCCCGATGGTCGGTGAATACCCAAGAAAGAAAAAATTCAGGTTAGACTTATCCTTCCAAATTGATTTCCTTTTCAAACACGTGGGCAAGCGAGGAAAAACCAGAGCTGAATAAAGAGAATGAAATCCGACAAGAAGCCACGCAGCGAATACCAAGCTCAGCAGACCCTAACCCTGCACACGGCCTGTGATTACAGTAACATGTTGGGAGGAGAAGTCTGATATCTGATAGCCAGAAGAGTCCCATGGTTCCCACCCCAAGCCCCTGGTCTGCCTTCGACTGTGGACACGGCCCACAGAGAGAGTTTTTGATCCCCCTACAAGCTCTGTCCTTCAGATGAGGAATCAAACTGGCATTTACCGATACTCCATTCACTGGCCGTCCTCCACCCAGTCTCCACTAGGCGCTCAGGAGAGGCGTGTCCGCAAAATGATTGATCGTTATTATTAATTCCGACCATCTGCCTCACCAGCACTGGATTCCCCGTTGAGCACTGACGCCAGCCCCCGCCCCCGGCGTGTCCCACGACTAGCCACTGGGACGCAGGAGAGGAGAGCAGCCACAGGGCCTCCCTCCCGGAGGATCTCCCGGAATACCGGGCCCATTTCTGCACCAGACTCTCAAGGCACGGCTTTTTCTTTTTTTTTACAGCAATACAGACGATAATAGCTGATTGAAAGATTACGGTTTACGGTAAACAGTGTCAAACATGTAGCTTTATACTGAATTCAAACTGATGCGGGTTAACATGCATTCTCGCACGATCTGTCTGATGCAAGGGAGTCCCCAGCTTCATCGTCAAATTTGAAAGATACTGCTGCAGGGCATGAAGGACACCCCTGTTTAGCTAAAACAGAGGCACACACCCGCCTGAGACAATCCCCCTGTACCCCATCCAACCTCACGCTTCTGCCTGCTCACAGGTGGTCTCCTGGTCTCATCTGGATGGGATGCAACCCCCCCTCCCAGCCATGGTGTTAAAGCCAAGAGCCTGTCTTCTTTTCAAGAAACATCTGGACGAGATCCCCTATGAGCCGCTTACTACCAAATAAGCTACGTGACCCAAATGGCCTCTGCTCATTCAGTACCTTTCTTTTGACAAAGAGAATGGCCTGGGCCTCAGCTGGGACCCACCTGGAAACAAAGAATTTACCCTTGGTCACAGGACCACCGCGCCAAGCCTAAGAAGCAAACGGCGCCCTGTTGCAGTTTTCAGGGAGCTGTAGTTCTAGTACTGGCACTGGTCTCAGAGGCTGTGTGTGCGCAATGTCAGCATCCTCTGGTGTACAAAGAGGACGTCAGGTTCCCTGCCTTCAGCCAGTTTTGAATCTTCACCCTCTGAAAACACTTGAGACGGGACCTGCCGAACAACTGAAGCTGGATACAAAAAAAAGCACGAGTTGACCTCACGCTGCAAAACCGAGGAAGAAATATGGTGTCGTTCTAGCGCTGGGTGTGTAAATGAGGGCAGCTGGCACTGTGCGTTTAGGGGTACAAATGTTGTGGCGAGTCAGGCAGCATGCAGACAAGCCCCCCACGTTTCTTGATAGCTTCACTCCACAGCGTTTGGGCATAACGAGACGCAGCAGAATGTCATGTTTCCCCCCTGCCTTGGAGAACTGCCACGATCCCGGCTCGGTGTATTTTGGCATGCCTTCTCCTGCACAGAAGAGGGGCCTTCATAAAATGTGCTTGGCATTCCTTCCCATGAGAACTTTTTTTTAAAAAATAAGTACCTCAATTCAACTTGCATTTGTTAGTTTTTGCCAGTAATGGGCTCCGAGGAATATTCGCTCCTTGAGGACGCGACGGGCGAGTGAGGAAGGGCAGTATAATTGCAGCTCCAGGCCCGTTCGGCAGGTCGAAGCTGAGGCTCGAGCCAGGCAGCCGGTCCAGAGAACGAGCTGCTGAGCCCACCTGCCGGCTGTCAGACTTGACATCAAGGGACCACAGAGAAAATGACTCTGCTGACAGTCCCTGTATGACAGGCCAGTTCTCTAGGCGGATGGGTGGAGGCGATTTATATAAACCACAGTCTCTACAGTCTGATTGCTGTTGCTCTTTTCACCAAATTAGACTCCAATTTGCCTTCGATGAATTCTACTGGAGTCTAAACTATAGAAACAGATGACATCATAAGTGCAATTATGCATTTATATATGCAGCAGGGCAGTGAAGAGTTTTGTTTCTTTGAAATCTTCAGAGCAGACTGGCCGAGCCACAGCAGCAGAATTTCTCCTATATCGCCAACGGTTCCAGCAGCTTGACCTATGACCCCACTGCAGGGTGACAAGCAGGGTCTGATCAGCGAGTGTCCACTTGCCTTGGATTCGGGAGTCCAGCACCGTGTATCTCCTTCTCCAATGTCCTGTGTTCCGGGAAAGCCTAGCCTGAACTGGATGACTATCAATAGGAACTGTAACAGAAAAGGATCAACTTGTCCTCGTTTGAAGTTTCCATTGCAATCTGATTAAAAGTAAAGAGAGGATCAACAAGTAAAAAAATATATAAGAAAGGCTGCAAATAACAAGAGGTCATTCAGTTTGTTAGGTTGCTCATTGCTCTGAGGATCTTCTTGATAGAAGTCAGGGTATCGGCTTCAACAACATAGTTAAGTAACGTGTTCCAGACTCCCACAACCCTCTGTGTAAAGATGCCAGGACAAAACATTTAGTGCAGTGTGTGTACTACTGATAAGATACTCCTGTACTAAAAAGAATCAGTAAGACACACCTGGCTGGGTAAATCCCAGAAAACGTTCGTCAGAAAGACCCACTGCAGATCTAGATGGGGACAGAGAGCATCCCAGTAGTGGGCTAAGCAAGCATCTCTCTGTGCTCTAATAACTGCTTCCCGAGACCACCAGAGCAGTGCCAAGAATTCCTACAGAGCACCCAAAACACCTTCGTCAAGGAACTGTCAGGAATCCCCAAGCTGGGAATAAGTTCTCCAAATTCTCCAGCCCATTCTTTGAATTACTGCAGTGCACAAAAATATGGCTTATTGCCACATGAACCGACCCTCCCTCGGGGAGGGCGTTATAATGAGCGCGGCTGTACTATTTAGAGACCATCCAGGGAGTCGATTATTTTATTTTAATTCTCATCTGAAAGCACTGGATCTGCAGTCCATTATCCACGGCAGGGGAAATGTTTTAATGGGCAGATCGACAGCGGCTGAAATGAATTCTACGTAACGAGAGTCCCAGGGGGAAACGGCCATTAGGACTGTGAAGGTTGTTTTTTTTCCCCATAAGCATCTAATAATCCCTCAAAGACATCATTAATTTGTTCTGACTGGGTTTACTAAAGATAGGTTTAATCCCTACCACGAGCCTACCAGACACTGACAGGGCCTTTTGCCTGAACCGCAGCGACGCCCAATTGGTCAATCTGGTCCCACGGCCCTTCAGCGCCCCTGCTGTCTGCAGCCAGGACCCTCCAGTTTGAGAGGGAGCCCTGGACAGTCCCTCCTGTGTCCCAGCTCACGTCGGAGCGGTGTCTTTTCTTACGAAGACAAAACACGCTAGAGTGTGCTCTTTTACGCACGCGTAGGGTGAATAAGAAAAAAAAAATCCACTAACCAAAATGTTGAGGCCCAGAATCTCTGCTGCAGTGTGGGGAGTTCACGCCAGGACCTGCAGCTGGACCACAACAGACCGGCATAGCAGGGCCAGGTCTGGAGCCAGCCAGCCAGCAACGCAGGTGAGACAGGAGCGCCAGGGAGATTTACGGTCCCGCAGCCCTACACAGAAACAGCCCAGCCTTGATTCGTCATGGAAACCTCGTTTCCTCAGGGGCGCATTGGAGCTCTTTTAATGGAATTAAACTGAACCTGACCTCTTTCAAAGACCCCCTGCCCCTCCCCTCGCTGTTACGCGAGCATACAGGCAGAAACACATGGCTCTTCAAAGACGGGAACGGGTGAATAAAGGTCACCGCACATGTGCCATGCTGTAGCCACAGTCAGCAGGTGAATGTGAAAAAGGAAAAACGACAAGCCGGGCACCAGGCGTCTAGAGTTTCGGTGAGGAAGAGGAACAGGACTCCACCGTGAGGGGAACACTGGGCTGCACGCGACCGCGCCCTGCTGCAGCTCTGGGTCGGCCATGTTCCAGAGCCGCACCTCGGGACTCCCCGCTACCAGAACACCCCGCAAGCGCTCTGCAAGCAACATCACCTACCTGCACAAGCTCAACACAGAAGGGCGCGGCGTGATGAAACAAGCTGTCAGCTGCTGTCTACACAGACTTAAACAAGATTAATCTCTGCACACAATCCCTGTACCTGTCTACACAAACAATAGTCCTCTATTGTCTTCCTTCAGACATCCTTATGCTTATTATCTTTTTTCATTTCCCCTCACATT